GAGACGAGAACTGCGTTTGCGTCATCAAAACTCGAATTAAACTCGGGTAATTTCGGGAAAAGTCGGATTTTCCAGCAGTTTTGAAGGAAAAATTTTAAAAACCGAAGAAAAACACAGTGAAACTTTGAAGAATCGAAAAAATAACTTGATGTGTGTAATAGCACCATCAATTCCTGTCTCTGTACCAACTCTGAACTGAATTGGATCACACATGTGTGAGAAAAAGCTGGTAACATGAAAATGTGCACACACCGATGCACAGACACGACCCAAATTAATACTTAATTAATTGCTATCGATAATCTAGTCAAAAAAGCAATGCGTGCAATAGGTGCATTAAAACAAACACTTAGCCTACACAATTATATAGTCTCACCAAAAAATGCTATTTAGTTATATCGCAGTACAATCCTACCCATTTTATTATATGGATCTGAGATATGGGGGGCTTTTAATTTCAAACTTGTTAAAACAAAAAATAACAAAATACCTGAAGACAATTTTATTCAAAGTCTGTTTAATGACAAAACACACTTTGAACAACTCCACATTAAACTTTCAAACAGATTTTAGGTGTTAATACATGTAATAAGTCCAGCAATGCAGCAACTGGAGCTGAACTTGGTAGCTATCCTCTAATTATTCACAAATGTTTATGAAAGGCTAAAATCAATTAAAAACAAGTCATTGAAAATGACACAGTCCCTGTTAAATTTTTGAAAGTTCTCTTTGTGCTCGTCATATTAAAGCAGAGGGGTTGTCACAGCGTGTCCTTGAAACTTGAGTTCCAAGTGGCATATACAACACATTGTTTATTTACATCAAAACACGTGTTCCATGTAGTAGGAATATGGCCAAACATAAAAACAGCCGTTATTCGGCCATCTTTGATCTGATTATGAAACACACTGATATGTATGATGTATGTGCCAAATACAAATGAAAATGGTACATAAACTGTGGAAATATAGTAGTAAAACCAAAAAGTCAGATGGCTGTCAATCGGCCATCCTTGACCAGATTTTGAAACAAATTTTCATGGACATGCACACTAACATGTATAAAGTACATGTATGTGCCAAATTTGAATGAAAACTGACAGAGCACGCATAAAGAGATACCGCATAAAAAAAACAAAAAAACAAGATGCCTGCCAGTTGACCATCCAATTGCGAAATAAATCGCCATGAACATGTATCCTAACATGTATAATCTATGTACCAAGTTTGAATGACAACTGACAAAGCATGTTCAAAATACAACATTTTCAAAAAACAAGATGGCTGCTAGTCGGCCATCTTGAATCGAATCGCTAAACCACTGTATGTGCATATGTCCCAC